TGCAACCATCACCAAAATTTGTGAAAATTTTCATCACCATAAAAAGAAACCACAAATCCATTAGCCCCATTTCTCCCCGGATTCTTGAGACTTTTGCTTAAGGATTAAAAAAAAAGTCTTTTGGCCACACCCCATGGCATACGGGATCTTAGATCCTTAACCAGGAATCACGTGGTATCTTAGCTCCCCAACCAGGGATCGAACCCACAACCCCCTGCATTGGCAGCATGGAACCTTAGTCAATGGACTACCAGTGAAGTCTGTTGCTTAAGAATTTTGAACTCAAGCCTATTGGGCACTCAAGGATTTGTTAATGCTTGCAACTCTGGCATTAATGGAATATTACTTAGCCTTCCCAAGTCCTACTAACTTTGAGACTAATTCTGACAAGACAAGGAAGTAGATAGTTCAGTTTAAATATGAGGATGAATTCCTGAATGAATGCTTTCTAAATAGTGCCTAGAGTGTTCGATTTTCCAATGTACTGAGATATTGGAAGTTCTAGAATTGCATTTTTGTCCATTTCTCTCTTCTGTGTTTATGTGCTGCCTAAGGCTGAGACTGTTGGAAATTTCAAATAGAATTTCCTTGGCAGTGTGGGCTGAGAGCTGAGAAAGATGATTCATAGATGACTAAACAAACAGTGCTTAACACCCTTTTGGCCTTACCTTCAAACAAGGAAATTGGTTACTGAATAGCATGCTCTACAAAGGAAAGGACTCTTGTCTCTTCTCTCATCCCTGAGTGGTTTAACCAAGTTAGAAATTTCTAACCAAGTTAGAAATTGATCTGTCGGGAGTTCTGAACTCCCAACAGATCCTTCTGTAGGAGAACAGGCCAACAAAACTTAAACCATAGAGTGTAAGTATAAAATCCTGGAGGACTAAGACATGGAATCCAGAACTGAATGTTAAAACATCTGAACTGCAAGCACTAGGATGTTGAAATATTAAACAAGGACCTGGACTCATTTTTCTTTTAGTTTAATGGTCTTAAAATTTTATTTAGTTTCATTGCACTTAAAAAAACCTCTCTGAATATTCTGTCTTTTGCAGACTCTCTGCAATCCCATTATAGTCCACCAGGCTCCTTTGTCCATGAAATTCTCCAGGCCAGAATACTGGAGTGGGTAGCCTTTCCCTTCTCCAGGGGATCTTCTCAACCCAGGGATCAAACCCAGGTCTCCCGCATTGTGGGCGGATTCTATACCACCTGAGCCACCAGGGAAGCCCAAGAATACTGGAGTGGGGAGCCTATCCCTTCTCCAGGGGATCTTCCCGAGCCAGGAATCAAACCAGGGTCTCTTGCACTGCAAGTGGATTCTTTACCAACAGCTATCAGGGAAGCCTCTGTATTCTGTCAGGTGCAATATAAGATGAATAAAGAAAATATATTCTTGTTTCTAGAAACAGTGACTCCTAGAAGTTCTCCTGTTTTTGCTCTTTTTTATCTTGGAATGAACATTCATTTATTTTTAAAATTTATTTATTTTTGATTGGATGATAATTGCTTTACAATATTGTATTGGTTGGGCTTCGCACATGGTGCAGTGGTAAAGAATCTGTCTGCTAATGCAGGAGATGCAAGAGATGTGTGTTTGATCCCTGGGTCGGGAAGATCCCCTGGATGAGGAAATGGTAACCCATTCCAGTATTCTTGCCTGGAGAATTCCGTGGGCAGAGGAGCCTGATGGGTCACAGTCCGTGGGTTTGCAAAGAGTCAGACAAGACAGGGCACACAACACAACAGCAACATCGTGTTGGTTTCTGCCACACCTCGACATGACTCAGCTCTAGGCATACACATGAGGATCTGGACTCTTCTGATACCTTATTTAAGTAACCTAAAACAGGAAATCAGAGTGTTGGACTTCAAATGGGCCCGTCCAGACTGTTTTTGGCCCTGAGATGGAAAGAATATTAAGTAACTTGTCTAAAATCACAGTTTTTCAGTGGAGGAAGAGCTGAGCTTTAAACCCAAGTCTGTCTGATTCCAAAATGCATGTTCTTTCCACTATGAAGTGTTAGTCACTCAGTTGTGTCTGACTCTTTGCGACCCCATTGACTGTAGCCCACCAGGTTCCTCTGTCCATGGAATTTTCCTGGCAAGAATACTGGAGTGTGTTGCCATTCCCTTCTCCAGGGAATCTTCCAGACCCAGGGTTCAAACCCGGGTCTCCTGCTTTGCAGGCAGATTCTTTACTGTCTGAATCAACCAGGGAAACCCTCCTTCCACTATACCAATGTGCTAAGAGCAAGTGGTCAGGAAGGAAATCTAAAGACCCAGCAGAGTTGAGTGATGAACAAAACATACTCTGAGCATCCTGGAAGGGGTAGAAACTGCTTCTCTCCTGGCCACAGGAAAGGTAGTCCCAATCTCCAGAGGCTATTTTGAAGGTGAGGAGCTGAAGCTTGCTCCTTCCTGTTTGCTTCATCTCTCTGGGCTTCTCTTTGCTCCTCTGGAAGGTGCGAGGTAGGTGATGGAGAGGCGGGGAGGTCAGAACGGGGCTCAGAACAGTAAAGTCCCTCTCATCTCTAATAGTCTCCAAACCTCGCAGCATATTTATTTCTTCATCTTTTAAACTTGATGGGGCAAACCACGGGCCTCACATAAATTCCCACTTTCATGTAACATTGCCAATGGTGTGACATCTTTATCTTCCATGCTGGTAGGAAAAAAATGAAGAGGAACAAGTTCAGACACATGGGCGGGGGCTGTGAGCCTCCCTCTGGTCTCACCCCGCAGAGAACTGCCCCTGTCAATTCTCTGGTTTCTTTTCTGAGGTCCTGAAGAGAAGAATGAGATCATGTCTGAAAAAGGAACTAGGCTTCTTGGAGCAAGAAGCTAAATAACTCCAATGCCTACAAGTGCCATTATCTGGCTTCCATTCCGAATCCTGATTCAAGGACCTGATTGAGTTTATCTTTTAAAAGAACTGGTCAGCTCTTGAATCAAAGAGTTGAGTCCTCTTCTTTCCCTCTTCTGGGTTTTTGAATGGTGTTGAGAGCCCCTACTGCCATGGCAACAGGAGATGTGGAAAACCGAACCTGAAATTGTGGGATGGAAAGGACCCTGCGGAGAAGGCAGCCTCTGAGGGACAGGAGAGCCCTTATCCTGAAGGTAGATGGGAAGCCGGTCCTTTGTTTCATCCTGACGTTGTCCTCTGTGGCTAAGATTTTAGGCACAGACGTTGACTGGCTCTGGTATCATGCAACTCTCAGTCTGAATGCCAGCTCTGTCGCACTGGCTGTGTGACACCTGGCAGGCTGATTAACCTCTCTGAGCCTGTGTTGTAGGACTGTTGTGTGCATTATATCAGAGGATAAATCACTGGGTGCTTGGCACTTATTAGATGCTCAATAAATAGGAGTCCTTGGGGCCTATTTTAGTTAGTTTCTCAGCTCTTGTGCCATGGACTCTGCTGGCTGCCTCTGAAGATGTGGATCCATCCATTTGGAAGCATATGGGTAAAATCAAGCTCCTATATGTCAGGCTTACTTAGCTCAGGGAGGATCAGGAAAAACCTGCCTGACATTCTCCTTCTACACCCAGCTCTTCTCTGCTGAAGTAGTGATGATGATGGAGGGGAGAGAAATTTGCAGGCAGAGAAACTGGAACCAGAAAATATGGATTCCTCCAGCCCCGGCACACACAGACACTCTGGGCCAGTCATTTCCTCTCACTGGCTTTGAACATCTGCTCTGTCACATGGGTTCCTGAGGCCTGTAACCCATTGCCCGAGCCTCCTCCTCTGGGCTAGTCCAAATTGGGTGTTGTCTGCCAGGCCAAGTGCAATCTCTAGTTGAATCACCATCTCTCCACAGCTCTGGAAAAGGACAGCCACGTGCAGGGATGAGGAGGGATGAGTACATAGAAAACCAAAGCTGCTAGATGCCATCACATCCTCTGCCTCGGGCATTTTGTCAACAGCTGGGCCATTGGTCACCTACCAACAAATCCCCATGGATCAGGAGAGAGGCTAGAGGGACTCAGAAGCTCACTGCATGCATCTGGGCAGGTTGCTCCATCTCACTGGGTCCCAGAGTCCGCATCTGTAAAATGAGAGGGTTTGATCCTTTCAACTCTGCTGCTCTGATTATGTGCTTACATGGGAGGATGCTGCCTGGATTCCGAGGGCCAGGGGGCAGCAGCCAGGAGCTCCAAGGTGGGGCTGTCAGTTCTAGCTTCTCCACTGCTAGAAGTCTGCTCAAAGGGAAAGGCAAAGATCATGGCTTGAACTGAGGTTTTCTTTGCCTCTCATGTGATTTTCTTCGCCTCTCTTACAAGCCATGGAGGAGAGAAAGAGTTGATGGGGAGAGGAAGTCTTCAGGAAGCAGGCGTGGTGCATTGAAGGGCCCCCCCCTCCCTTTCTCGTTTAGTACTACTGTATTTTCTCAGTAAATATTTATTGAGCACCTATGGTGAACTCGGCACTTGTTCACATCAGTGTACAAAACACACAAATCCATGTCTTTGTAAAGCATATGCTCTAGTGCAGGGAGACAGACAGTAAAAAATAAAGGTAGAAAATCATATCTTAACAATGTCTTCTTGGTGATAAAGACTAGAAGAGATACGGAATCAAGGTTGTGACTGTGGGGTTTGTAGATAGAGGGCAGTGGTAATAATTAAAATACTTGACTTCTGAAGGAAGATTGTTACAGGCTGGCCAAGGGGAGGACAATATGTAGAATATAACTACATTTAATATTCACAAAATGTGAATATTCACAAACTATCATTTTTAATAATGATATTCATTAGTGCTACTTGTTCGTTAATAATAAATGCGCTATCCTCTGTTCATCCTTTTTCTTTTTCTTTCGTGAAGTCTTCGGCAGCTTTGGGGTGTCCCCGGCTGTCCAACTTTTATTCTCTTTGTCTTCCTCCTCTTATGGACGCTCTTGTTTCTTGCCTGGTCACCTGGGATTTTTCCATCTCGAGTCTTCCTCCGGCCTCGCCCCTCCTCCACACCCCTCCCCCATCCCGCTCTGCTCTAGCTGCCTGGCCAGCCTGCCCGTTTCAGTCCGATGAGGGCACACCGACTGGAACAAGCTGGTGGATGGGGGAGAAGACGAAGGGCAAGCCTTTGAGTAGTCAGATCGCAGAGCGAGTTCCCCCGCCGCGGCTTGGGCGGAAATTCCGTTCGGCTCGCGTTTTCAAAGTGGTTGCGGCGCCGGGGACTGACTGTACTGCAGTTGAGCGGGGAGGGCGGGGGGAGCGGTGATGATCTCCTCTCCTTTCTGAGCAAGAGGGCCACCCGGAGCATAGGCGCTCCACGGCGAACCCCTGCTTCTTCAGACTGAGAGTAAGGGTAATGATGCTAGATTAATCATCATACTAGCTCAGGCTTCTTGTGAGAGATCAGTTTTAAAAGTAGAAGACAGGGCTTTGGTAGGTGATGTGCTAAATCTCAAGGTATTCTTCCCGATGCCGAGCAGGCGGCTCTATGCTGGGTTCCCAGGGGAAGAGCGAAGAGGAGATCACCTTATGACCTCCAGGGGTTTGTGTTTCCCCATGGGGAGGAGCGGGGAGGCGTGCCACTCCCTGTGGCAGAATGCAGGCTGTTTTAAAGCCAAGGGGAAGGTCTGTCCTGGCTGGAGGACGAGTGGCCACCGCTCTAGGTATTGCACTGGAGTAAATGTAACTGTGACCAGTATATGTTCACATTCCAATGATGACTTGGATTGAAAGCGTACAATTGAAGGACAAGTTTAAATATGGGATGGGCCTCAGTTTCACATAAGGAATTTGGTGACCTGACATGCTGGGTATCACTCAGGATGCTGAGCCTGGTGGGATGAAGGCCAAAGGGCTGAGAATGTTGTTAAGATGCTGGGGATAAGTCCTCTCCCTGCCAGAAGGTTCATGACTCACTGATGATCTTTACAGATGTTGGTCCTTCAGACTCCTTGGTGAATAGTGTGTATTTTTACATTCTGTTTCAGCAAAACACGGGCAAGCATGTTTGTCATTTGTTTTTGTTTCTGAATCACCTACTTGTGCTCTGTACCCATTTTTGATTACTTTGTTTGTATAGTTTTTCTTTGTTGGGGCATTTAATATATTGTGACTAATACTCTTTTTCTGACTTGCTGCCAATAATTTTTCAAGTTTTTTTGGTCGTATTTTTTTCTTATACCTTTAGGGGGTATAGTTGTGTGCAATAAACTGCACATAGTTAAATGTTCAATTTTGTGAGTTTTGAAATAGGTATAAGCCAGTGAAGCCATCATCGTAATCAGATTAACATGCATTTTTATCACCCTTCAAAGAGTTTTCGGACTTCCCCCGTGACTCAGATAGTGAAGAAAGTGAAAACCAAAGTGAAGGTGGCTCAGTCATGTCTGGCTCTTTGAGAGCTCATGGACTATACAGTCCATGGAATTCTCCAGGCCAGAATACTAGAGTGGGTACCTGTTCCCTTCTCCAGGGTATCTTCCCAACCCGGGGATCAAACCCATGTCTCCCTCATTGCAGGCGGATTCTTTACCAGCTGAGCCACAGGGGAAACCGCAAGGGGAGATAGTAAAGAATCTGCCTGCAGTGCAAGAGACCTGGGTTTGATCCCTGGGTCAGGAAGATTCCCCTGGAGAAGGGAATGGCAACCCACTCCAGTATTCTTGCCTGGAGAATTCCATGGACAGAGGAGCCTGGTGGGCTACAGTCCATGGGGTTGAAAAGAGTCAGACATGACTGAAGTGACTACACTTTCACTTTCAAAGAGTTCTCGAGGCCCTTGGTGACCGCTTATTTCTCTGTCTTCATCCCCAGGCAGCCTCTTGATCCCCTTTCTGCTACTATAAATTCATTTACAATCGCTAGAATTTTATATAAATGAAATTAAACAGTATGTGCTCTTTTTCGCCTGGCTTCTTTCACTCATTGTAATGATTTGACTATTCACCCCTGCTGCTGCATGGGTCAAGAGTGTGTCCTTTGTTGCCGAGTAAAGTCCGTTGTATGGATATACCACAATTTGTGTATCCATTCACCTGTTGATGGACATTTGGATTGTTTCCAGTTTGTGGCTATTAAAAGTTGAGCTTCTGTGAAGATTTATGTACAAGTCTTTGCATTTCAAGTAGGTTTTGACAGCGGGAGTTGAAAATATATTTCAGACGAAAGGTCACAGAGAAGCAAAGGCAAGAGGTGGACAGGGAACAGGGTTGTAGCAGTCTGGGGTAGACGGAATGAAGGATATTCACTTGGAGAGCAAGGTGAGAAGAGAACAGTTTGGGGGTGGATCTCAAAGGCCTTTGGAGTGTATGCCTTGGGCTTTATTTCATTCTATACATAATGGAGAGCCATAGAATTCGTCATTGAAATATGGTTGTTTTACAGTGTTATGTTAATTTCTGCTGTACAAAAAGTGATTTAGTTGTACGTATATTATACATTTTTTTTTTTACCATTACGGTTTATTTTTTTTTTAGGCAGGAAAGACACAAGTGAATTCTAGCTCTTCAGACTAACAGCCCCTCAATCCATATTTTGCTGGATGTGTGTGTGTGTGCTAAGTTGCCTCAGTCTCATCCGACTTTGTGCAACCCTATGGACTGTAGCCCACCCAGGTCCTCTGTCCATGGGATTCTCTCTGCGAGAATTCTGGAGTGGGTTGTCATTTCCTTCTTCAGAGGATCTTCCAGAACCAGGAATCAAACCCGTGTCTCTTAAGTCTCATGCATTGGCAGGTGGGTTCCTTACCACTAGCACCACCCAGGAAGCCCATATTTTCCTGAATAGTTAAGCTAAATGGTCAGTTTGCTTTTCATGTTAGCATGGGGAGACATTTTCTTATGCTGAAGTTCAGAATCGGCAGTAGCAGAGTCTCAAGGTCATGGGGAAAGGAAGGTCCTCATCTCTTATGTTCCCCACTTGTATAAGAAGATAATTCTATTGAACTCTTCCTTGTCCAGGTAGCCCGTAAGTAGTGGAATGTATATACTCTGAAGGGGTTTTTAAAATGTAAAAATGGATTTCTGGTAAATAAATTCAAATTTCTCATTAATTTCTATTAAAAAATTGGAGCTGTATGACTGTAGAAAAATGCCACCTTAGAAAAATCATCCTTATAAAGTGAATTCATCAGGGTCCCAACAGGAATAAGGCAACACACTAGAATTGGGTAAGTCAAAGGGACGTAAAAAAAAGAAAAAGCTCTTTACAAAGGTGTGGGGCTGTAGGGTGGCCACAGGAGACAGTGACATAATCAGAAAGGACAAGCAGAGAGAGCGTTACCAGAGCCTGAAGGGAAAGCTGTGTAAAGTCAGCCTCCCTTTGTGGAGGGACACACTTAGCCCGAGATGACCAGAAAAATAAATACTGTGTTCACATCCTTGTCTTTGCCAATGGCTAACCCCAGCTAGAAGCCCGAGATCATGGGAAGCCTTCGATATGGTCCACGCAAGCAGAAAGTAGGATGGAGATGGGTGAGAACACTTTTGGGAGGCGTGTGAAATTCACTTGCTCCATCTGCCCCCACCCCTTGTCCCCCACCCCGATCCACTCTTCATTCTTCAGTCTGCTTTGTGCCTCGGGACCATCCTTGCCCTCTGGCTTCAGGATGCGCCACCTGGAAGAGTGGCCGGGTGCCTGTTTCCCTGGCTTCTTCCTTGCTGCCTTGCTAAGGATGGCTGTTACCCTGTACCAAAGGCCACAGCTCCTATGAGGGAGCATCTCTTTATATAGTTACTTTCCTGGAGGCAGCTAATACTTCTTCTCCTTTTGGGTCCAGGAATGGTAATGGGTTCCCAGTGTTGCTAGCCTTGGGGTACCAGGCCATCCCTGGTTAGTTTCTTCTTATCCTGACCACTGCTTTATAAATAGTCTCTTATTATTGTCTCTACTCTTTTACTTGGCTTGAGTTGCCATCCATATCCTGCCAGGACTCTGGTTGATACAGAAGTCAAATACATGTAAAATTCCACTTGGCTGACCTACTCTATCAGGTTGATTTTGTGAACCTGGATGAACTAACAGGCACCTAGAACAGCTGGCTCATTCCATCATCTCTCCTGGCCACTGGAGGCCTCACATCTTCCTTCAGATTGTTCTAGAGCCCCAGGAACCGTTTGCCATTTCAGCCTCCTGCACCTGACTGCTCCATCTTACTTGATCACTGTTGGGAGCCCTTCACTTCCAGCTGGTTTCTTCCACGCCCACACTGCTGCTTCCTTGCATAGGAATGGAGACCCTCAATTCCCCTTTATTTCATGCCTGTTGCCTCCTCCAGTCCACTCGAGCTTGTGTTGAACAGAGCGGAGACCTTTCCTTACAAGACAGGGGAAGGTGGCCATATTCTAAAATAAGACTTTTTATGATAGTTTCCCCAGTGAGCATACCAGCTGATAGGAATGTAAGCTGCATTGCTCATGTGGACTAAAGACCACAGAAGAGGAATAGGTGGGGGGATCTCCCTGGTGGCCCAGTGGTTAGGACCTGACGTTCTTACTGCCAGTGCCCTGGGTTCAATTCCTGGTTGAGGAACTAAAATCCCATAAGCTACAAGGCACAGTCCAAAAAAAAAAACCAAGAAAGAAAAGAGGAACGATGGGCCAGTGGTTGCATACCTGTTCTAATTTATCTTTTGCCAGGTGGCTCCATCTCTGATTCCTATCCTACTTTTCTTAATTGTGCTGAAATATTCTTTGCTGCAGAATTTTTGTTTTCTTTGGAGTCTGTATGCTTCTCAGCGATCCGTCTTTGTTCAGGGGCCCCTGTCTGTGGAGCATTTACTTCCACCCTAATGATACAGAGGAGCCTAGGAGGCTATTGTCCACGGGGTCACAAAGAGTCAGACACAACAGAGCAACAAAGCATGCACACACACAATGGCACTAGTATTAGGCTGGTATCCATATGTATAATTAGATATTAATGGCTTATTAATGCATTGGTAAACCCACTAACCAAGTAAGTCATTAATTAAATTAGAGACCGTTTATCACATGCAGTGGAGATTTATTAGCTTCGGTAAGGTTAGCGCTGAGGAATGTTAGTCTATTGCTGCGGGTTTTTTTAGAACCCTGGCCTTGTTGGCTCTGCAATTTAGCTTGTTATCAGGCAGCCTGTATTGTTAGGAAGATAGGCTTTGTAGTAAGAGAAGGTGGTCCTCAAAGCTTGACTCTGTTATTTATTTCTTGTGTGATTTTGGGCAAATGAAGTAGCCACTCTTCACCCTAGTCCCAATGCTGGTCAAAGGGGAATGATTGGAGTATGCACCTT